CACTCATTCTAAAAATTATTAAACAAATAAATACTTCCTTTAAATCAATTAACAATGCCTCGCAAAGCCAAACAATGCCCGTCTTCAATTAAAGAAATAAAAGAAGTGATCAACGAAAAGGATAATGTTGAGTCTACTGACACAGTAATCTCTGATACAACAAAACCAACTAACGATCTAATTGAAATTCATACACCATTCTATGAACCTCTTACTAAGGAAGAACTTTTCAAGGCAAAAGATAAGCTAACTGCTAAGTGCCTAAGTGCCGCCAAAATCTAAGTGCCGTAAATTGAGGAAAAGAAATGGGGGACTGTCTTATAATATTTTTATTTCTTTGAATTTAATAAATTTTGACTCGTGCAAATCCTGATGTCTAATATTATATGTCGAGACATTTGTTAAAATATTTATTAATAATAATAAAATTTTTTAAAATACATATTAATTGTAATAATTAATAATTGTAAAGTAAATATATGAAATTGACATCTTAATAATTTTACAAACTTTTTAAATAATCTATAATATTTGAGATTGGAGGTTCATATAAAAATCGCCATCTTGAATACATTAGGTAATTTGTTCTATTAGGTTTTCCAAATTTGAACTTGTTATCATAAAGGTCCCAACGTAGAATCCAACGCCCCATATTTTTTATTTCAACTTGTCTTGCTATGTCACTCTTCTTCAGATGATAGATATCTTTTATAAACCACCGCATGTACAATTTTTTATCGGCTGAAGTTTTATTAGATGATTTTTTGTCCAATGTATTCCGAGTTTGAAACACTCCCGAATTATTTACAGTTATATTAAAAAATATTGGTGGTGGAGTTCTCCGCCAAATTGGTAGTGGCGTCCGCCGAAATAATGTTGTCACTAATTCCTCTATCTTCCAGGGTTTTGCAGCAAAGTCGTTAGCCAATATGAATGGAATACTTATTAATATAAATGGAAATATTAACATTTTAAATAATAATAGATTTTTATTATTAATTATAGTTATTTATTGTCGGATTTTCTTGACGTTCGTATTATATGCAAAATGATTTATTAATTTAAAAAAATGTTCTTTTTTATATTAATGATAATAATTTATATCAATCTTAAAATTGTTAAATTGATATTAATAAATACTTTACAGATTTTATCATAATCAAATTTAAGTTTTGTATATAGAGATATTCCCAATTGGTGTGTGCACGCGTAAATATCTGTACATAATTATATACTGTACATCTCACAAATTGTACGAAGATATGTAAATATTTATCCTATGGCCACATAACCTTTCATACATCGATAGGGGTTAATGGTTGAAAAACGCAGATATTTTAAATTTTTACTAAAAATATTTGTTATTTCTTTAGTTTTTCTTCGTTTCTATTTTGTATTCCTTAATTTCACAACTATTTTATTTTCTAACGCTTAGATTTGCACTTTTACCCCTTAAATCTACATCTTCTATTGCTTAATTTTTCATGAACTTCATCTTCTATCTATTAAATTTACATCAATTTTATAATGTAAATCATAATTTTATATCAATTTTATCTTGTATTCCTTAACTTTACACCTATTTTATCTTCTAATCCTTAACTTTGCATTTTTACCCCCAAAAATCTACATCTTCCATTACTTTACATTAATTTCATCTTCTATCTATTAAATTTACATTAATTTTATCTTCTAACACTTAATTTTGCCCTTTTACCCCTAAAATCTACAACTTCCATTGCTTAATTTTTCATGAACTTCATCTTCTATTTATTATCTTTACATGAATTTTATCTTCTCATCCTTAGCTTAGCATCAATTTTATCTTCCAACCCTTTACTTCACCACAGTTATATCCTACAATCCTAAATTTACAACAGAATAGTGTGTAATTGTAGGTGTGCACGGTGTGTATATTATTTAGTGTACAATCAAATCGACAGTATGTTTGTTCGAGTTTGCTTGCCCATAAGAAAGTTAATTCAGATTTCAAACTTAAATTTCACACCGTAATTGTTTTTGAAAATATAAGCGAAATAATCCAAACTTCAAAATTAAAATAGATCATCCGGTTGGTCATGAGTTAGCAGAAAGGTCTAGAAATTTACAGGTGAAAAATTGAAAGTTTATTTAGATTTTGAAATTTTTAAATACAAAATGATTAGGGTTGGTTTTCCCGAGCACAAAACATATGATAAATAGTCTAAACTTCAAATGTAAAACAAAATTAAATTACGTAGTTGGGTCCCAAGGTAGCTGATAGGTCTCGAAGTTGAACAATAAAATATTATCTTAATTAAAATTCAAACGTTTAAATATGAAAATTAAATAGACGAAGCTTTCCGAGCACAGGATATATATATGCAATGGTTATAGCTTCAAAAATAAATTGAAATTCAATCAAACATTTGGGCCCAAAATATTTGATGAGTGAAGTTGCGTTTTCCCGAGCACAAAATATATCGATTATCGTTTAAACTTCACATACAAAACATAAATAAATTATGTAATTGTGTCACGAGGTAGCTGATAGGTCTCGAAGTAGAGTTAAAGAAAGGTAAAGTAAAGCAGAGTTGGGCTATAGCTATTTGTTTTCTTCAGATATTGCAAAGGTTAATCGGCGGCTGTAAAAGACCAGCATCTTCAATAGAACGGACTGATGTTTCATGCATGACTTAGGAAACTTCATTATCTTAGGAATTTTCTAGCTATATTCTTTACAAAACTAAGAAATTACCCAGCAGTGGTATCGGTCATTAAGTAATTTCTATAAGAATTAAACATAAATACACGCTGACAGAAATTCTTTCTTGAATAGAAAATTTTCCAATTTTACTGTTTGCAAAATGGGTTCCATCAGATTAATTATTTCCCCAATGGTCGGTTTGATTGAGCATTCCAATAAGATCAAAATGATAATTATCGTTTGATAATGGTAAAATTAACACTGTTAAAAGTCAGACTAATGATAAATAACAAACTGATAGTAGTCAGCACTTTATTTTTAACGGCCTATTGTGATACCACGCCGACTACTGCATAGCATAGGAATTAAATATTGATATGCTTTACAGTAAAATTTTTGAATTATTTTACTTTAATCTCGTTTAATTGTTCATAATACTATCTTACACTTTAAGTTAAACATTGTTTAAAAGTTATTTTTATATTTTATTTTTTAAACAAATTTTACAACTTAATTGATCCAAGTTTCTTACCAAATTTACAATATGATTGGTTCAAACGAAATTCAAAGTTTATCTATTTAATTAGTAGTTATTTGCTTTTTATTTAAAAAAGATGCCGAAAATTTTTAGGACTTTGAGTGAAGATCAAAAGGATAAATTTTGAATTGGGTAGTATACAATAGAGTGAGCGAGTATAATAGAAGAAATGAAATGCAAGTAAAAACTCGTAAAATCGAGCAATTTTTTAACACAAAAAACAGTTTTGTGTTGTCCTACTATTCTCGGCATAAAATTTCCAACCAGAAAATTTAATTTTCGTCCTTTCAAATGCCAGCCAAATCAAAAAAGACAAATTGCTGCCAAAAACCGTGAGTCTGCGCGACGTTTTGACAATTCCGATATTACATTTAAAAAAGATATTGATTATCTAATTAAGATTTGGTTTATGAAAATTAATTCCAACAATAGAGCCAATATTTGCAGAAATTTACGGCATCTGTTGAATAGGTTTCTTGTCATTTAATACCTTTCCTAATCTAACATCTAGGCAAGTATTTTATTTGGACAATTATTCAAGCGATGATACTATGAAATTGGATATTAATTTTATTAAGAAAAATAATTGGCTCGTTAAAAATGCTGAGTGCTATTATGCTCATGGTAAGGATTCAAAGAAGGATGAGATAGCCTTGAGAGAAGACCTTGTTAGGATTGGGTATAAATTAATTGCCAATCTCACTCATGAGCTTATCCATAGAATAATTGTAAGAATTGACAAAATTAATGATGCAGATAAATATCATAGTGATAGATTTCCTTATTGGTGTGAACGTGTTTATGCGAAATTCAATAAAGCCTTAATGAATTCCTCAGCTGTTAATTCTAAATTTCGTAGAATTGAATAATTTTTTACTGTGTTTGTTCTTTATTTATACATTTTTCAATAATTAAGTAGTGTTTTAATTTCTTTTTTAAATCTTCATTATTATTCATTTTATTAAAATTATAATTTTTAGAATGTGCAATAAATGTTTTAAAATTTTTGTTATGCAAATAATAATAAGGAAAGAAGACCTCAGAACTTTATTATTCTTAGTATTTTTTTATTCGGATTATCAAAATTACCCATTCAAATACATTAATAATTTAAGTTGATTCATCTATCGAAATTTAAAATACTTAGGAGGAAATGTTTTCCCTCATAAAACACCTATGTAGGTATTTCCTTTTTAACTGACCGCAGATCCTACTTAAGTTTTGTATTGACCAATTCTACCACCTCTATATACACAGGTTAGTTGTTTGTAGAACCCTCCCCTCTCATTCAAAGTATTTAATTAGTTACGATAATTATTATTTAATTATCAATTATTGATCTTTATATTTTATAATTTGAAATTAATTAGTTTTTAAATTCACGCTAAACACTTCCATTAGGATTTTTAAAAATCTTCTTTAGCTATGGAATTTTCCCTTTAACTGATCGCCTCCTTAAGGTCTGTATCAGGGGTATGCCTTTCACCAAAATTGCGTCTTTTTTGAACTTTCACCTTACGCCTTTCGCTTTTAAAAATATGTACTGCACACCCGTGGCCTCCATGGTTTAATTACTTTTTAATTTACATAAACCATTTAACTAGTTACAATAATTATTATTTAATTAATAATTTTGGGTCTTTTATTTGGTTAATTAGTTTTTAATTTACTAACACAACCTTCCACAGAATTATTATGGATGGGTGACTATTTAAAACGCTTAGGCGGGGGTTAGACGATCTAAAAGGATAAAAGAGTCAATGCCCCTTAGTCGATGCCCCGATAGCTCAATGGTAGGGCTCCTCCTGTATGTGGTGAGCTCAAGCGCCTATCAATAACTACGAGGTTGCAGGTTCGAATCCTGTCCGGTGGTCGTTTATTAGAGGATTTAGCTCAAACGTTTTAACTAACTGTCAAAATCATTAAAATATATACAAAATGACGTTAATTATTAATTGATAATATTAATTGGTAATTTTTTATTCGATTTGACTAAGTAGCTTTTAATTTTAACGCTCAAACCCTTTAATTAGACAGTATTCTATTTGAAACCTTCGATTAGATACAGTTCCTTTTAACTTAACACCAACCCTCATTAAATGATGCGCTGACTAACTAAACCCTCCATAGACGGCTGTTAATTGATCACGTGCCTCCCCATCCCAATCATTCAACAGATATAAATTTCCCATTTCATTCAAAATTATGAGCGATTTTTACCGCAACCACCCCTTTAGGAATTAATAAATGACCTTTTAATTGACTAATTACCCCTCCCTACAAGACTCCCTCAATAGGGTAACCACACAAACAACCACTATCGGATCACCCCTACCCACTCATTCAACCACTTAATTAATTAATAATTACTTTTTAATTAATTAATTATGTGTCTTTTATTGGAGAGGGTTTACCTCATAGCCTTTCAAGTGCCGCCCACCCCTTCCATAGGTTTAGACTACCCGGTAAAACCCTTCCATAGGCACTGACTAATTGACCACGGACCCTTCCCCTCCCGAATCCCTCAAAAGGTTTGTCCACTCACACCCTCCTTTAGGCACAGGCTATCCTCTCTCGGACCCCTCCCCCCACGACTCCCTCAATACCTTTTAATTAAGCGCGCGAAATTTTACCGCGCTATAACGGTCCCTGTCTACTTACTACTTATCAGAGTAAAAAAAAAGAAAAAAAAAGTCTAAAAGAAACAAAGAATACCAAAAGAATATTGCAAGGCATATGAAGCCATTTAGATCGTATTGTTATATAAATCACACTTGAATTTAAGAAAATGCTGGTAATTGCCAAACATACTTTTGTTATTCCAAAAACTTTATCCATTTAAAATAAACTAAAAATCTACGAAAAACAAAAATTTTAAGTTGTTAGAGGATATGTCCGGATGAATTCGCTTTCGATTGGAAGGCGAATTTTAGAGAATAAAAATAATGATTACAAGCACGTGTTGTTATATATCACGTTATATTGAGATGTCGAAAATCGAATTCCCGTTTGGTAACGGAAAAGTACCAAACCGGTTAACCTGATTTCCAAAAACGTCCGGAGAAATCTTCGGAAACTTGAAAAAGAATGTCCTCAAGCAGAAACACAAGCTTGAGCTTCAAATGGCCCGGCATTCAAAGCTCACAAAGACAAATTTCTTTATTCTTGAATTTTGTATTTTGATAATAGTAAATAATTGATTTATTCATATTTAATTAGCTATTAGCGTATGCGAAGTTGTTGATCGTTCGTTCCAGGACTGTTGTTATTTTTGGAAGCTTGAATATATAATTCAAGCTAATATTAAAAATAAGCTCTTGCTTTACTTGGCCAAGTCACCCAAGTCACTTCAAGTCACTCAATCATATACAGAAAATAATGAATTTGAAATTATTTTTATAAATACAAAGAAAGTGAACGGTGGTACATTATTTTCGAATTCTAGTCTGTAATATATTCAGACTTCCAAAAATAAACAATGGCAAAAAATCAGTAAGATAAAATTGACTCAACAAGATCGCAAATAAAAATAGTAAAATTAATTATTTAATATTATCAAAATAACTAAAATAAACATTAAAATGTAAGCTAAAGCTAACATATCTAGCGAAATCAATTGAAAATACAGGGAATTGGAGAGTCAATATAATTTCTTTATCGAGTTTTCAAAATCAAGTATTACGTAAAATTAGGATTAATTAACGGGAAAATAATTAAAATAAAGGGAAAATCTTTAAAAACAAATTAACTTAAAATTTTTTTTAAATTTTTATAATAATTCAAGCAACATTTTAAATAATTCAAATATTTGAAAACATTTAAACAAAATTTTGTTCATCTCCACCATATTTTTGTAAAAGCAAACTATCCAGTGTTTGAGGGATTGAAATTGGTTGGGAATAATTTTGTATATTGTTTTTTAAATCAGGCAAAATTGAATTATTGCCAAAATTTGGAGGTAATGCTAAAATGTAATTACAAGGCTGAATTGGGTTCCAAGCTGAAAATGAATAAGATATTTAGTTCTCTAAATTTATTTAGAAATTTTTTTCTGATTATTTAAATAGGGTTATTGGTGAATCCAATGGTACAAATAACATAAATACTTGACATCCCTTCATAAGTTATATGGTCGGGACTGAAATGAACTGAAAAAACTTAAATGTCCTTAAGATTCCCCGAAATTAAGCAGTCAAAAGTGAAGAAATCACCCGAAGAAAACCCCTAATACGAGAGAAGAAGGCCTTTGATTCGCCAAAAAATAATTTGAATAAGATTGAGGCATATAACTGAATTCTTTGTTGGATTTTACAAGATCCCTTCATGGATCAATCGAAATTACTTTAAAATTTAATTTGCTTATTTTTAGCTTGAATTGTAGTCAAGCTTCCAAAAATACTAGCCAGGCATAAGGGAACAACTACAATCGAGTAAACGTACATACTTACTAACTAATAAAGCCTAACTAAATCTATTAAATTATATTGTCACATACAAATCCCATTAAGAAATCCAATATTTTATTTGGATGAAATTTACAAATTATTGAAGGTTTTTCTGTTACTTTTTCAATTTTATTATTTTGTAAAACTTCGTTATCTTCGTCTGTTGCAGGTAAATTACGTAAATATTTTCTAAATGAAAATTTTTATTTAATTTTATTTTGTTTAACAAACCTGTGTTTGGCACGACGATTTTTGAACCAAACCTGTGGAAAAATAAAAGTAATTGTATTGAAGTGATATATAGAGATTAGCAAGGATATTGGGGGATTTTTGGGATTAAAGTATTAAGTCAATTGTTACCTCAGTGATTTGTAAAAATATAAGCGGATTCAAGTATAGTAACTTGTACAAAGTTGTACAATATTTATATTAGCCAGCTTATTTTGTGGCTTACAAAAATACATATTCATCAATAATGGCCATCATGTGCTGAATAAATTTGAAATTCAAAATACTTATATAATATGAAAATAAAAAATGAAATATTGTGTATATATTTCTTTCAAACTTTTTTCTACTAAATTGTCAAAAAATTTTAGATAGGAAAAACTGGAAGAAAGACAAAAGGAGAATCTTCTTCCAGAGCTTCCAGTTTCTCCCCTCTTCGCAATTTTTCAATTAAAAATAACAAAAAATGTGAAGGAAAGAGAAAGTCTTCAACCCTCGAATCTGTGCCAAACAATAAAATTAAAAAGCGGGTATTTGATGGCAAAAAAGAACAGCAACATCCAAGCCATAAAAATAATAATTTTGAAAAATTAAATAATAAAAATTGTATTAAAAATATTCAGCCAGAACCGTCTGCCCCTCCAATGTATTTTACTATGCAATTGCAACAACACCATTTTTATTAATTTTATTTTTGTGTAATTTTTTGTTTGAATAAACGAATTTTTAAAATTATTTTATGTAGTCCAGATATTTCAAAACTTAAATCAAAGAACCCCAATTCCTAAAGCTTACATAGTTTTGTGGGAACTCTACTTTGTAGTTTTCAATATTATAATTAAATCCCGGATTGCCATAATAAAATTTAAAAATTATATTTTGTTTAATATTCTAAATTCACTTTTATGACATTTAATATATTATAATGAAATATGCCTTTTGGTTTCTGCTTGCTCTGGCCGTTTAATTTTTTGGAAGCCTAAACAAATTCTTAGGCTATTTTTCTTCTTCAGTTGTGATCTTTTATAACTTTATATTGTTTAGATTAGATTTTTCCGAAAATGCAGAGTTGAATTCTTGGAGTATAGCAATATTCCCAATTTGATATTCCCTGTTCGGGCATTTTTCGATTTTGGCATTTAAGCCTAAAATTGGAACCTATTTGTTAATTTTTCGGACCTAAATGTCGGGCTCTAATGATAATTGATTAACCAAAGTGATTAATTAATGAAGAAAATTAAGGAATAACTCGAAATATTTCAACATGAATAATTTTTTATTTAATTTCATTTAAAGTAAAACATTAATTAACAAGCTTAGATGATGGGCATATAATGTGCTTAATTTTTTGGAAGTTAGATTTTCTAACTAAAAATGTAGGATGTTAAGGAGTATGCGCAGCTTGTATCTTTGAACCAATAAAAATTTTTTTCCTTTCCGTAGGCCGATTAGAGTATTTTTTATCGATATTAATCCCCGAAATTCTGCACTATAAATCATCATAAAACTATCAGAATTGTTGTTGTATATATGATATAAAAAGGTTTTTTGGGAAAGAAAGGCGTACATGGAAAGAAATGGCATTTATTTATTCATATATGTACGACAAATAGAATAAAAAATGTCAAAATATATTTAATCAAAAATTTAAGGATCGCTATTATTTCTTTTAAAAATAATTTTAGAATTTAAATTATTTATTCCTTCATTTTTCATTAAATTAATGTCAGCACCCACTTTAATTTTTGATACTAAATTTTAAATAAATTAATAAAAATATAAAACCAACCAATCTTTTGTCGAATAGGCTGAAAATAATTAAGTGAAAATTTATTCAAAATTTATTCACGTTATTTTAGCTAAGGTTCCGTGACTTTTGCGCCGAGAACATTTGCGCCGCGACTTATGCGCCGCGACATTTGCGCCGGGCGACTTTTGCGCCGGGCGACTATTGCGCCGCCACTATCATTAATAATTATGAAAAACTACAGCCAGACCTCACTATAGAAGATGTAGGATAGTGGAGATATTCGGATATCAAGATCTGGATCCGATATCCGACCTAAAATTTTCGGCTATCCGGCCTTTTTCAGATAACCTGGACCCGACAACCCTACAATATAGTTCACCAAATATCCTGATTTGAAAAACTCAAGTTATTTGAAGATGACCCCTCTAGGGGGTCGGTTTATTAGAGGGGG